CACACTACTTCACGAACGAGGACTTTTAATCTCTTCCCTCCCCCTGCCGTAAATCTCCCTTTCGTCACTCGCCGTCTCCATTATGAAGTCAAGGGTGGAGTAATCCATATGAATTTCACACCTCTCATTAAGATCTGAGATTTCACAGAATTGTAGGTTGTTTGTGGACTTATTTCTGCCACCCTGGTTATTATTTTATAAATAATTTATTCATATCATAAGTTCGGTTTTGTTGTATATTCCACACACACACACACACAGACACACACACAGACACACACACACACAGACACACACACAGACACACACACACACACACAGACACACACACACACACACACAGACACACACACACACACACACACACACACACACACACACACACACACACACACACACACACACACACACACACACACACACACACACACACATACACATATATATGTATAACATTTATGAACCTCATTATGGTCTGCGGAGATGGGACAGAACATCGACTGCAGTATCACTACACTGAGGAGTTGGCGAAGAACAACAACAGCTTCTGGTTCACTTGCTGTTTACGTTTGGGAAAACTTTTGTTATGTCTCTCTACGGTCCATGCTACTCTGATCCTGTGGGACAGAGTAATACTGATTTTCAAACTCCCTAGATATGTTGAGTTTGTTCGATATCCTATGATCAGCAGCACAACTCTCGTGACCAACATTTAATGGAATGATGATGTCGGCTAAGGTAGATACACATGCTCTCATCCGCTTTTCTAGAGAGTCACAGTTTAATCCCAGTGAAGCAGTATTGTGAGGGATGTGAAACAGGAGGAAATTGGTCTGAGGAAGTTTTTCTCCAGAATACCTTTGATATACCTGTGATGACTCCCGAAAGCTTTTCTACTCCAAGAGCGGTCTCTAGGAGTGGTACTTGCCTATCAACCAGGTTATTGCTGCTGGTGGCCCGATTAACCACTGTTTGGTTGATTGATGTGGTCCCTTCTGAAGATACTTATCTAATTTCCTCTTGAAGACTTCTACACTTGTCCTAGCAGTATTTCTGATAGCTTTGGTAAAATGTTGAATAATCTTGGGCCACGGACATTGATACAGTGTTTCCTTATGGTGCCCACCACACCCCTGATTTTCACTGGGTTTATTTTTCACTTCCTCCCATATCTCTCATTCCAGTATGTTGTTATTGCATGGTGTAAATTTGGAACAAGGCCCTCAAGTACTTTTCAGATATGTATTATCATTAACTTCATGGTGTTTTATGTGTCCTTCTTTCGAACTTAGAGCTCAAACATTGCAAACCATATTGGTCGGTTATTCTCAGGCTGTAAACAAATATTTACTCAGTGCATAATAGAGGCAGCAAGCTGGTAGCCACTGTGGGTCGAGACCTATTCCAGTCGAAGAGATGTTTATTGCTATAGTAAACTCTCAAGAGGTAAGCACAATCATTGATGAGGTGAGCATCTGGAGCTTAAGCTGAATTAGTTTGAGTACTATAACACCGCGAATATTTTCAAGATTGCTCTGGCAACAATGCGTCAGAGAGAGAGAGAGAGAGAGAGAGAGAGAGAGAGAGAGGTGCCAGCGGCAATATGTGTGTGTGATTGCTTTCACATTTCTTAGAGTGCAGGGAAACGCGGTAAATGAAAAAAGTGGTCCAGTGACCTGAGGGACATCGCCAGCAAGACTAACACTAGAAACTCTTGTGAGTTTAGGCAGGGGACGCTGTGCTACGTCTCCAAGAGCTGTGATGAGCGTTTGTTTAATGGGCTGAGGTATTAATCCTGTGAGTCCATCGGCTGAAGGAGGTGAGAAAGGCACGGCAGCTTTATACGCTTTTCATTCTTGGACTGCTAAATGTTCTTTTCTGGTGGCTCTGTAATCCTGTTAGCTGTTGTTGTTAATGTTTGAGGCTTGAGTGAGTGTCTGCCTTGTGGAGCTGGAGCGCTTGTAGTATCTCCAGGAGCAACTGTTTCCTCGTTGCCCATTAATTTGATTGTTCCTACAATTTTTTTGTGCTGTGTTGTGGTGCTGACGATTTTGCATGAGTGTGAGGCACTGGCATCATATGTTTGCAGCGAGAGGTAAAATAGAGGATGTAGAGATGCAGTGAAGAAAATCAGTGTTAGTTGTGAATAATACGTTAAGAATAAGGAGTAAAGAAATGAGACGCGAGGTAGAATGGCAGATATAAGTCAGAGAAGAAATGCTGCTGGGATGGTTTGATCATGTAGAAAGAACAGGGGAATATAAATGATGAAAAGAATGTATAAATTTGGCCTGGAAGGAAGGGAAAAGGGAAGTTTAGGGAAGGGGTTGGTAGGAGAATGTGAAGAACATATGTTAACATGTTGAGTTGGAAAGAGTAGGGGCGAATAATCTATTGGATTTGACGATCTGTTGAGGTGTGAGTAATGTTTAAGATAGTTCTCTCTTTAACACATGCACACACACACACACACACTCACACACACACACACACACACACAGAGCTGCCTGATTGTTACCTACAGTTGTCTGATTGATACCTACAGTTGTCTGATTGATACCTAGCGTTATCTGATTGATACTTGCAGCTGCCTGATTGTTACCTACAGTTGTCTGATTGATACCTGAGACTGACTGATTCATACTTCAAACTGACTGATTTCTTTAATGTACAGCAATGGAGAAATATGAAGTAAAATAAAATGTTAATTTAATTTCATTAGTTAATTTTAGACAAGATGTAGAAAGGACGAAAAGAAGATAGGTTGACATAGATGGTATGTAAATCTGGGAGAGATGGAAGGAGGGCTCTATGAACTACTGGAAGGAGGGCTCTATGAACTACTGGAAGGAGGGCTCTATGAACTACTGGAAGGAGGGCTCTATGAACTACTGGAAGGAGGGCTTGAGGGAAATATTGAGTGGTGGAGACCTGGGCATCCAGCAAACATGGCTGAAGGTGTTACATCGAAAAAAAAAGAAAACTTTTTTTTTTTTTTTGGTTGGAAGGGATAAGAAGGAAGAAGGTTATTTGACGTGGTGTTGAAGCGTGACCAAAATAATATCATTGAAGGGGTACACAAGAATTCACTGATTTACTACTATGGGATTGTACAGTGGGTCCGAATGGGATTCTCCTCACAGTACTTAAGAAAAGATACGCTATGTAGAATGTGCTGTCATTGGGATAAGGATAACGTTCACCTCGGTGTAAAGCGAAATGTTGCTCAGGCTAAGAACTGTTATCTTACCTCAGCTTATTTCAAAGCCCAGCCCTATCTGAGGTATACTGCCACCCCCAGGATGCCACCCACACCAGTCGGCTAACACCCAGATACCTACTTGCTGCTGGGTGAAGAAGGACAGCAGGTATAAGAAAACACTCCCAATGTTTCCACCCGTACCGAGGATCGAACCACGGACACTCAGTGTGTGTGAGTTTAGTGCGCTACTAGCCCAGCTACGGGACACTGCTCTACAACACGGGATGCTGCGGCTAGGTGGCACACTCAACGCAATATTTTTAAGTAATTCTACCCAACGCTCGAATATACTCCGGTTAAATTACTCTGTTATTTCCCAGTGTCACAGGTTTGTAGGCAGATGTGTGTCTCTTTATTTCAGCTGAACTGTGTCTGGTCTCTTGATGTGGGATAATACTACGCGGTTAATACGAACTGAACAGTAAATTTCTTTCGCTGTATTTTTAGGTTGCATTTTAAATGGCGAGTTTTATTAATCTTTGATCTCTTGGTTTTACATTTTTAGGGTCAGTATATTTTTTTCAGATGCTCCTCTATTTGTTGTCATTTGTATTATACTAATTGTTATTGCAATTATTATTGTTGCGTTTTTCATTATCATTATTTTATTATATAACTAATATTGGGGTTGCTGCTGTTGGCTATTGTTATTATTATTATTATTATTATTATTATTATTATTATTATTATTATTATTATTATTATTATTATTATTATTATTATTATTATTATTTGTTTTTAAATTTTAATATTTATTCTTTTGTTTTTGTAACTATTCTTTTCAATACTCGTTCCATCTGATAATCTCTGCAAAGTGTAAAATGTATAAGACCTTTGTTATTCAAGAATTATATCAATAATCTCACATATTTATACACAGAATTATCAATATTCAAATATTCTCTGCCAGCAAGACTCGCAGCAATCTGACATTCACTGTATACAAGGATACTGCCCTTAATATCCTCTCTGCACAGGTGGATTACATCAATTATATGTGGTTATCCTTTCATCCCATAATAGGATTTACCAGTTATAACCTCTCGTCCCTTCCCAGAATGCTGGACCAGTGGTAATGTCGTGGAGTCATTCACTATGGCTGGAGCACTCTATTGCTCCCTATAATAAGCTTATGAGACTGCCAACGTTGTCATGTGCTTAACCTATGTCGCTTAATATCTGAAAGCATTTATGTTCAGAGATTTTAATGTTTAGAAACATAAGTCGGTTTAAGTTTTTCACTGTGTTTAGTTATGCATTTTACTTTTTTTTCAAGCTTGTCTCTTATTTTTTTTTTTAGAAATGTTCATTATTTATCATAGATGTGAACAACTTTCAGATGGGAACTCCTTATTTTTTGCCGCTATTGTCTTGTGTATTTCCAGTCATATCTATATACTTACTCTCCAGTCATATCATTGATTTTCCTGTGTCCAGGCAAACTTTTTATCATTGCTATTCATGACTCTAGTGTAAACAAGTGTTTTTATTGCCTGTTATTGTCCTCTATTTTTGCAGTGACACACATTCACGTTTTCCTCTTTCCAGCCATAATATCTCGTCTGTCACACTTCAGAGGCTCTTCACGTCTTAGAATATAACTCACACTCCCCTCTTCCCGTCTTTCCATAACTTGTTCTTCCCATCTAACCATTCCTGTGTCACACTTCCCTCTTCCCGTCTTAATGTACCGTACTATCACAGTGACCTTCGTCTCATCGTCATTGTTTTCCTGCAGTTCCCTCGGGGCCACCGATGATCCTGTGGGGTGGGCATGGTGCCGTGAGCGTAGTGGGCCCCCTTGTGGAGGGGGAACGAGCTCACCTCACCTGCAGGAGCATTGGTGGGAGACCTCCTCCCCAGCTCACCTGGATACGTCGAGGACAGAGACTATCTCCCCTCAGTTACAACGCCACAGTCGACCCTTCCACAGGTAGGACGTTTGATTTCACTGCTGGTTACTCTTTAGAAATCTAGGACTATGTGGCGATCCTGTGTTTTATTTTAATGGGGTGGTAGTAGTGGTTTAGGTACGTCATAGGTGCTTAAGCAAGGGCATTCTGCACCGGTATGCCAGCCATTGTTTAATCACTAACACTTTGTACGGATAAGCTAGTAGGTGCTTAATTGTTGACCCCCAACACCGGCCCGTTAACAGCTGCATAATCACTCGGCGAATCATAATCTGATAAGCCCGGGCTGTTCGACTGTGAGCCAAGGCAGTTCCTGCTCCTCGTTCATCCACCCGTCGAGTTAAATATGTCACTGTTAATTTTAAAAATGTACATTACTTATTCTTTTAATAGAGAGCAACAACAACAATAACAATGACAATAGCTTTACTGCTAACATATCCATATGTTGTACATATGCAATCCGTAAATTACACAGTTTCATGACTCATGTCATCATAATGACACGGTTGTAAATAACTTTTTAAACCATCGTCCCAGGGCGCTACCCGGTGCCTTAATTAACATCGGGTTGGAATCCCACTACCTTCAGTGAGCTGCTTACAATCGTGTCATCACAATGGCTTTGAAGGGACTGGAGTTAGAGTTTGTCACAGTCATGCCGGTGAGAGATTCGTCTGAAAAAAAAAACTCATCAGTGCTCACTATGCAGGGAAGCCCATGCCAACCTACCTTTAGAAATACAACAAGTTAGGTGAATCTAATTAGGCTAATACGAAACGGTAACAAAATTTCATTTGCATTATAGGGATATCATTTGATACACAGAAAATGATGCAAATAGTTTCACCATAAACTCTTGAGAATTTATTTTATAAAGAATATATAAATGTAAACACTAGTTTAATTAGTCAACAAATTACATTTGCATTTTATACAGAAGTATAAATGACAGTGGATATATTCCCACCATACTGCAGCGATAACTAATTAATTAATAATAATAATAATAATATTATTATTATTAACTTTATTGTAAATCTTTATCAGTATCACAAGCGTACAAAATGTTTCTGTCAGTATCTCAGGCCTACAAAATGTGACACGTTAAAAGATGTTTCAGTTACTTTGACTCATTGTAAACATATTTGGGTTATTAATTCCAAATAAAATATCAGTTTTTCTCTCTCATGTAAGTTTTCTTCACAACAAGATGTAGACTTTTAAAGTATATACATAAAATAGTATGTTGTTAAGTAAAAAAAATATATATAATGTAGAATAAAAGGTATATTTATTTAAGTTACATCCAGTACTCTTTAAAATATGAAATTTACCACTAATAAGTTCCAGACACCTTTAATGTTAAATCTTTGTCTTGTCTCTTCAAAACTACGTTTACTCTTTCGTTTATTTTTTTTTTGTGTCTCTGTGCGTAACATTCAGCAGTAGTTGGCCATCATGTTGACATTTCATTGACCTTGTTACCTTCTCTCCATCTCTTTTATATCCTGGTGAAACCTTTCTCTTGCTCTTCACTCATAGCCTTCCAGATTTTCCGGAGAATAGTCCAAGTGAGCATCCAGGAAATGGACTGCGAGACTCGTATTACATCGTAAGGCCTTGAAATTTTCCAATATCATGTTCACGATTTCTTCGTACTTTGGGTTCTTGTAGTTGCTAGTTGCTTACGAGCTTTTTTTGTATGTCATCCTTGAACTATGTCTTTGCCTCATTTTTCCAACATCAAACAGATTTTTCAAAATTCCCATCCCGAAGAAAGTTCCTAGCCATCCGACAAATATAACCTTCTTTGAGGTTGCCTGCCGACAGTCCTAGAAATTTCTTGCATAAAATCTTACAACCGTCTCTATCTCGTGGTAAAGCTTTAAGAAATTGCTTCATTAAGCCACGTTTTATGTGTATTGGATGGAAAGTTTGGACCCAAAATCACTTAATTTTTGTTGTTATTGTATCTTTGTACAATACAGGAATATAATTAGCAACCATCACTGTGATTTTTTTCTTGTTTCTCTCCAAATCATTTGGAGACAACAAAAGGGACGATTTTTTTATTTTTTTTCGTACCTTTTGTCCACTGTATATTACACACAGAACAGACTATGCATAGTAACCTATTTTTTCATAAATTGTGTAATATTTCTGTTGCTATTTAATGGAAAATTCACCACAGATATAACAGAAATTGTCGGGACAGTTAACACAGCGTCGTGTAGCCATCGTCACAGCACCACCCACAGCTCTACTCCGAAACAAAACAAATATACAATAAACGCCTGTACTAAAACAAACCACAAATGCAATACACGTCCGGACAGCGCAGAAACATGACGTCAACTGTCAGCTTCCAGCTCTCCCTCAGAACCTCTTTCCCCAACACACATTCATGTCAAGACATGTTATTTGACAAAGGATAGTGGCAACACTATTTTGCAGGCTATTGGACAAAAAATGCACGGGATACAAGAAAATGAGCATCATTCATGAAATTAGCGCATCAAATTTGATTAGAAACAGACAGCAAATCTGAAGCTATGGAAATAACGTAGGCCTGTGAGATAATATAATACAATATCCTCTCTGATGTTGAGTATTGGCTGGGATAGCCTCCGTACTGTGCTTAAGTTTTAGTATTAATATTTGTAAAAAAACGAACATCTGTCGTGTTAATTCTTCATTGTGACTGTGATGCCTTGTTAATTCTTCTTTATGACTGATACCTGGTTAACCCTTCATTACGACTGATACCTGGTTAACTCTTCATTATGACTGATACTGGTTAACTCTTCATTACGACTGATACCTGGTTAACTCTTCATTACGACTGATACCTGGTTAACTCTTCATTATGACTGATACTGGTTAACTCTTCATTACGACTGATACCTGGTTAACTCTTCATTACGACTGATACCTGGTTAAGTCTTCATTATCACTGATACCTGCCTCACCTTCTTCTAACCCAAGCCACAGCTGAAGCTTCAGACCTCTGTAAGCAACACAATTATGTTTTATTAGCCCAGATTAAATTAAGTCTTGAGACAATAGCTTCACAGTGTGTGTCTTCCTCTGAGAAGTTACTCTCTCAGGTGTAATGTAACTGCAGCCTCCCACATAACACTTAGACTGTCAGATACACCCACCTAATTGTTTAGTTGGCTAATTAGCTAAATCAGAAGCGCCTAGCACCTAAACATCCGTGGCTGGGTATCTAGCAAACTCACAGGATTTCGGAAGCTTGATGATGCGATGCTGTACTGGAGCGTGAAGACGGAATGCCCTTCGATTCTACAGTTAGTTATTTTGTATACCGTGTCTCGGGTAAAAGTACTGACGGATGCCATGCTATAAGCAGTAGGTAATAAGGAGCACCTACTGTCAAGACTGAGCGACTGACAATCTCGAAATTACTTCTCTTCTCGAGTCCCTATTGTTATAATCGCCTGCACTCGATTAAAGAAGCCTGCTGCGCAGGCGAAATGTTTGGGCAATAAAGACAGTTAAGTGTTACATGTGTCTTACTCATCAGATACCGACATAATGGAGTAAGTGGCACTTAGATGCAATGGGTATCTTTATTAACAGCAACGTTTCGCCCGCGCAGTAGCTTCATGGAACCAGTGACTTGTAATTAACTTCTATTATCTTAAATAACGTAAAGGGAGGTAGGTGCCTTGGTGGAGGTGATGTGTTCTTGATCCTCCCCTGGGATCGAACCTTACTACTTTCCATTCCCCTCTTCGGGTATAGTGCTTTTCCCACCCTCCTTCTTATAATAATATGGAAGATCTCGGAGACAATGAAGGGGACAGGGGTCAATGGTGGAAGTAAGAATGCAGGTCACTCTGGAATCCAACCCTTCTCATTCATAACTAGTAGTTAAGCGATGAAGTGTGGAAGATGTCCTCTTCATTGTCTTCGAGATCTTCCACCTCACCTTCGACAGTATTTAAGACTCCATTCTCATGTTTCAGCTTCATATCGTTCCAGACCATGGAGCTGTACTCTACTCCAGGCTGAGGGACTGACCACCGCAAATACTATTTCTTCAACGTTCATGGACTGATTACATCATCTGAATACATTTTTTCACAATTCCTTGAGAGCTCTCATTCTCTTTTAGACAGCAGGTAATTTACCTGATATAATAGCAAGCAACTGGAAAATACTAGAAACGAATACCAACTAGCACCAGGTTGAGGCCACGCTACTAGTTACTGTTGTCTACCTACAACTACTACGCTACTATGTGATAATGTATGTATTAGGCGCACTTAAGTTGCTGTTAAATATCACTTCTGCTATAATATTTCTTCAAGTATATCTATTTCACCAATCAATATTCAGAAAAAATCATAACAAAATTCAGGAAAACTTAATAATATCACCTTTATTTATCGAAGTTGTGTATCGCAAGCTGAAATTTATCTAACTTGTAATAATTGTTCTTATAAATTATATTGCTGGAATAAAGGCACTTCTTATGGGTGGAAATCCCGACACATAAACAGCGAGCTCTTGAATCATTTTAAAATAAGAGAGAGAAGGCTGGTTTACATGTAAATACGACCGCATATACAAAGTCAAGTCACCGCAGAATGCTTCATTTGAACCACCGGAGACTGCAGAATTATGTTGATATCCTTCCTGGCTCCACCCCTTTTGTCCAGAATAAATCAACCTGAAAGAATTTCGCTCTTAGAATAGGCTTGTAAGAGGAAGTATCGCGTCGAATTTCGCACGTTCACGTTAGATTACATAGACAAGGTGTGCAAGAGGATTTGGCTCTATGGGTTATACACATATACTGTATGATAAACATATACACTACGAGGGGAGCATCTCCCTCTCTCCTGTTTACTTAACATTCCTTTTTACTTTATCTTGAAGTCACTATTTAGTCAAAATATTTATTTGTAATCCAATAAGGTTCCAAAGGTTCGAGATTAGAGTCGATTTATTATCCCTTGCCATAATTGTATAAATGAACTATCTCAGATATATATATTCTTCGCCTTTTACAAGACTCTTGCTTTTATATTTTCTTAGTGAAGCAGGAATCATTTTACATTATTATTATCTTACTTGTATCAAAGCTTCACAATGCTAGTCACTGAAGACGCACCAGTCTGTCTCAGCAAAAGATAATCTGTATATTCAAAATCGTGTTTTTTTTTTTTTTTGGTTATTCATGATCATTAAAAAAAAGTTTCTTTCCTTGGCATTCAATGCTGCTGTGAGTGAGATGTTTCTTTTAAATGTCTTGTATTCTCCGTTCTCTGTTTCTTTGATTCATGTCCCTCTTTTGCGGCGTGCCTGTGTGCCATCCTATTTCGTATTTCCTTCTTCAATTTCATATTTCGCTAGACCTGGTTTCTCGTTACTCCTGCTCCTCCGTCCCATGATGATTCAACCTCTTTCTCAACACAGTGATCACTACTTATTCGATGTTTCGTGTTCTTTCATTTCGTTATCTTCGTATTTCCGTTTAGTGATAAATTTTCCATGTTCTCCTGCTTCACATTAACCAGGTCCATTTTCCTCAGATTCATGTGACTCGCTTCGAGTTCTTCGGCGCTTATTTCACTACTTTTTCTACCGTTGTGTATTTTCTGAGTCGAACTGTCTATGACTTACGTTTGCCCAGTTGAGGTAATATGCCATAGATATTCCTGAAAGCTTTTTCTGCAGATTTCATGAGAAAACAGCCGAATAGGTAAAAGTTACGATTTTGGCTTAAATAGCAACGCTGTATATGTATATATATATATATATATATATATATATAAAATATATATATATATATATATATATATATATATATATATATATATATATATATATATATATATATATATATATATATGTCGTGCCGAATATGTAAAACTGGTCAATTAGCAAAAACTCATTTAAAATTAAGTCCTTTCTAAAATTTTCTCTTATACGTTTAAAGATATATTTTTTTTTTCATTAACGTTAATGTAAAAAAATTTAATTTTGCACCTAAAGAATCTTAGAAAACTTACCTAACCTTATTATAATAAGAGCAATTTATTTGTGTCTAACCCAACTAAATATATTTTAGATTTGTTTACGATAATTTAATACTAAACAAGCACAGTGAAGTATATTTTTTTCGTTAGGTTCAGAATGATTTTGGCGAAATTATTGCATACACAAATTTTCACTTGTCCTATATGGCAAGATGAGCGTTGCTTTTTAAGCCAAAATCGCAAGTTCTGCCTATTCGGCACGACACACACACACACACAACACACACACACACACATATGTATGTATATATATATATATATATATATATATATATATATATATATATATATATATATATATATATATACATATATATATATATATATATATATATATATATATATATATTTGTTTTTGATCTATCAGTAAATAAGTCTATAAAGGCTGACGTAACTCAAAAGGAATAAAAAATATATGAGAAGAGAACTATAAGACAGTCGTGGAATCTGTAGTAATAAATAAGTTATCAAAGAAGTACAACAAAGCAGAAATGTCTCAAAGTACAGTAATGGTGCTACTTTTGTATGGGTGTGAGGCATGAATTTAGAATATTAGTACAAGGAGGAGGCTGGAGGCAGAGGAGACGTCGTGTCTGTGATCAATAAATGGTTGTGAATGAAGAGAATTTGGAATAACAAAAATTAAGAAACGGTGTGAAAGTTTATAGTACAGGGGAGCAGATGAGGGGCAGTTGAGTTGGTTTTGTGATCTAAGAAAGAAAGGAGCAAAATACGTTAACCAAAAGGATACATAAATTTGAGGTGAATGGGAGGAGGTGTAATGAATGTTTGAGAAAGGGTTGAACGGAGGCTGTGAAGATGATGAGAAGTAGCTGGGAAGTACAGTACCTGCATTTTGTATGTCGGTTAGGAATGTCTCCCGTGGAAAGTGCAAAAACACTCGTACTAACAATGCGCGTGAAAAAAGAAAGAAGAAGAAATCCCGGAAACCACAGCCAATACAAAAAAAAAAAAAATTTTTTATTATTAACGAAATTTCAGTAACGCAATAATAAAATAATGCAACACAAGCGATGGAACAGTTCCAAGAAGCAACAGGAAGAGAGCCAATGCAGCTTTCTGCTTGCGTGTGGCCAACACCTCGGAGGCTTTTATGGATACTTACATACATCATCGCTTCCGACAATTGTCGGTCCCACCAAGCCTCTATCATCACCTCACACGACACACTCCACCTGTTCCTTGGCTTTCGTTTCAGTTTTCACATGTTGTTTAATAAATATATCTCTATGAGCCGTACCAGTTAGGCGAATTTTTGTGAATATAACAAAACCAACAAAAACAACAGCAATAACAATGACAACCACAACAACAACAACAACAACAACAATGACAACAACAACAACAACAACAACAACAACAACTACAACAACAACAACAACAACAACAACAACAACAATGACAACAACAACAACCACAACAACAACAACAACAACAACAATGACAACAACAACAACCACAACAACAACAACAACAACAACAACAACAACAACAACAACAACAACAACAACAACAACAACAACAATGACAACAACAACAACAACAACAACAACAACAACAACAACAACAACAACAACAACAACAACAACAACAACAACAACAATGACAACAACAACAACCACAACAACAACAACAACAATGACAACAACAACAACAACAACTACAACAACAACAACAACAACAACAACAACGACAACAACAACAACAACAACAACAACAACAACAACAACAACAATGACAATAACAACAACAAATGTTATTATAATGATTTTTATTATTACGATTATTATTTTATGCAACGAGATACTTCCTAGACATTGTTAGATTCTTATTTCTTTTTCATAAATAACAAGTTGGTTAACCTCACGTTGCTGACTCTGCCTGTCGCCAGCACCAACAGTCTTACAGAACCAGGCGGAACCAGACCGAGCCACAAGGGTATGTAGTTATACCCTTTAGCTCAGTACATATCGAGCACTCCCAATCATTCGCTTTAATAATTGTATTATTTTTCCTTGCCAGGCATGTACCAGGTGGAAGCTGCAGTGAGCATCGTGGGCAGCCGCGAACTCTTGGGCAGCACCCTCTCCTGCCACGCCCGCACGCCCACGCACGCCCACGCCGACCTCCTGCAGCCCCAGACAGCCTCGGTCGTCGTCAACGTCACTCGTGGGTGTTCCTAAACATATCTTTATTTTATGATGTTCAGTATCACACGCGATTACCAACGTCATTTTCTCAACTCTCCCTATGAAAGAACACTCTCTACTGTAAGTTAGGCTAAGTTACTTTATGTAAATTAGACCAAGTTTGGCTAGGTCACAGTAAGTTAACATGAGGTTAGATTATAGTAGGTTACATTAAGTTGGGGGAGGTTACAGGAAATAAGGCGAGGTTACTGTTACAGTAAGTTAGGTGAGTTTACAGTTACAGTAAGCTGGGTGAGGTTACAGTAAGTTAGGTGAGGTTACGGTAAGTTAGGTGATGTTACAGTAAGTTAGGTGAGGTTAAGCTCATTCTTCTGTTTATACATTGACAGTCGCTAATTCCAACCTGTCACAGATGTTCTGTGAAAGCTTCTAAAGCTATGGAATGGGATATTAAGGTCACAGCTGGTGCCTCTGATACAACCAAGTCACAGTTGTAGAATCAGCTTATTTGTAAGTTCCCTGGCTAATTGGTCACCACGCTGGACCTGCCATATGCCTGGACAACGGTACAAGTCCCAGTCCATTTTTCTCTTTATACAATGACAGATTATTACGTCTCATCACGTTTATATATATATATATATATATATATATATATATATATATATATATATATATATATATATATATATATATATAATATATATATATATACATATATATATATATATATATATATATATATATATATATATATATATATATATATATATATATATATATATATGTATATATATATAGTAAGGCTGATGCATGCAGGGGATGAGATGAAAAGCTGTAAGCCTTGGATCAAAGTCTAGCGCAAGCTGGACTCCAAGGTATTGGTCCAGTGTGGGTAGATTGGTAAAACACTGCGTACCTTGTTCCAAGGTTCGTAGGTTCGAGTCTCCTTCAGCCAGAGATCAGTGTTTGTGTATATTTCGCCTGCTCTTGGGAATTCCTTGCATATATGTATAATATATATATATATATATATATATATATATATATATATATATATATATATATATATATATATATAAGAACACTGTGCTAGCCAAGGACTCGAACCCATGTTGTACTGGTCCGCCAAATGGTGAGCAAGAACCACATGACAGTTTAACTCAAAGGACAACACGTAGGATTTGGTGGTCCTGTGGGTTAAAGCGCCATGTGGTTCTGGCTCACCATGAGGCGGGCCAGTACAACATGGGTTCGAGTCCTTGGCTAGCGCAGTGTTGTTATTGATCATTACCACCCGTTCGTGGTTATATCTATATATGTCGTGCCGAATAGGCAGAACTTGCGAACTTGGCTTAAATAGCAACGCTCATCTTGCCATATAGGACAAGTGAAAATTTGTGTATGCAATAATTTCGCCCAAATCATTCTGAACGTAACGAAAAAAATATATTTGGTTGTGTTTGTTTCGTACTAAATTATGGTAAACGTATTTAAAATATATTTAGTTGGGTTAGGCTAAAATAAATTGTTCTTGTTATAATAAGGTTAGGTAAGTTTTCTAAGATTCTTTTGGTGCA